GACGCCGACTTAAAGGATAAATACCAACGGACGCCGCTCTGGTATGCTGCACAGTCTAGGCACAAGGCTGTAGTTGAGCTGTTGCTCGAGACAGGCAAGGTCGACGTCAACTCGATAGATAGCATTCTCCAATATACGCCGCTCTCATGGGCGACAGAACACGGACGCGAGTGGAACGATGTAGTCGAGCTCTTGCATAACACGGGCAAGGTCAACGCCAACTCAAAGGACAACTAGCAATGGACACCGGTCTAATGGGCGATAGAGAACGAGCATAAGGCCCTAGTCAAGCTACTTCAGTTTTTACCGCGATATCGTAAATTCTATTTCAAGAGAGTTTAGATATTTTCATAAACCGTGGGAATTCAAGTCCACTTATAAGCTACATTTTAATCATAAAAGTGAATTTGAATTTTCTTTTGCTATTTTTTTTAAGTCTATATAGGGCGCAAGGGCTTAGTATCTCCATAACTGCCCATTGTAATAGAAGGGGAAAAATCTTAAGACTGTAGAAGAGGAAAAATGGAGAAAGACAAGTATACTACAAATTTCAAGTTAAGGTTACCCGAAAACGCCTTTAGCGGATAATATCTACACTCTTTTCGTTCCTCAGACCGGCATGCTCTGACCCTTGGAGTTCCTCTGCATGGTACTTAGGTATGTTTAATAATGGCTGACATGCTTAGGCTGGACTGTCAACCACTAGTGAGGAAGAGGATGGTAAGGCGAGTTCGGATCAGATCCTGGGTAGACATTATAGAGGTGGAAGGTCGTCGATAGAAGGTGTGGGTGGTCTGAAGGCTGATTGGTGTCTGTGAATGTGCTGTAAAGTAGGAGCAGTTGAAGGAGGTGGTGAAGTGTGAGGACTGAAGTGTGATGCAAGGAGACTGAAGACTCCAGGCCAGTCTCCTTATATACTTCTTCCTCCATACAAACTGGCTGACTATCCCTTCTGGCGGCCTCTCGTAATGCCAAAGCCCCATGAGACTGAGCCCTATGAGACTGAGGTCGGCCAGGTTGTCCAGGGCTGTGTAAGCCGGTTCCTGCCCGTATGGCTTAGTAACTTCAGGGGGCCTTTTGCAGCCAAGTGATTCCTCTTCCATGCGTGCTCCTTGCACATAGATCCACTGATCTTGCTACAGTCAGCCTATCCCATCGTCAGGCCGGGTCGAGAGGCTCATTTTGAATCTGCCTCGCCGTTCATCCATGGATTGTCAAATGCGGACCGTTCTGCCTGGCTTCCAGATCTGCCTTACGCTTGGGTTGTGGGTGCCGGCCTACTATCCGAGTGTCTACCACCCTGCGGGTCCATCCGGATAAGGTTCTAAGGGGGTGGCTCATGATGGTGAAGAGGTGGCTCAGGACGGGAGGAGAAGTGACTCTTGAGGGTGAAGGTGGCTCAGGACGGGAGAAGGGCGTGCCGGATCAGCATCGCGACGAGGTGACTGGCTGCCTGGATAGACTGCGCCAACACGCATAGAAAGGTCGACAATCCAAGCCATGGAGCATAAGATATTGGCGTCGGGGGCTACCCATCCTCAGCCGCTTAGGTAGATATTACCGCAATACTAGGCAGACTTAAGGGTTTTTCAGTTGCAGCTAAGACATCTTTGTGGGGATGGCGGGACAATACTGCGTAACTCCGTCTCCTTAGTACCCAGATATAAGCTTGCCGTCTGCCCTGAGGATCCATGTCAAACTGAATCTTCATTCTACTCTCCCGCCAATACAGCTCACCATGGCTCCAACCAAAACCTCGCCACGTCAGAACAATAGAAGAAGCACTCTTCCTCTTCAGAAAAAAAGATCCAGCAAGCGACTAGAGGCACTTCACCAGGCTCAACAACGCAAAATTGCCTCAGACGATAAGCACCTTGGCCAAGATCGAAACACCAATGAGCACGATGGCAACTATACCGATTCCCAAGAGACTATCACAAACTCGCTATGTCCCACCTGCACTCGATTACGAGCGTATATGGATTCGTCCATAAAGGCCAACACAGTCGAATACCTCGGATGGCGCCTGCCAGGCCCAGTCCCAAACAACGAAGAACCGCATGTCTGGGTTGATCTGGGGGATAAGAACCAACATGGCTTGCTACGCTGGTATCCCGCGTCGAGCGCCTTCGTCCTTGTCGCGTCGGGCAATGTATTACAAGGGCTGGAGTTGGCTGGTGTTGTGATGTGCGAGCATTTTGAGGATGTTGGGGCACAACTGGGGAAGCAATTGAGTGATACAGCTAGCCTTATGAACCTTCTCGCCTCAAAACGTTAACAAAGACGCCTGGAATCTCAACCCCTCTCTCTATCTTACATTTATCGGCCCTCCTCGGTTGCCATCCCATGTGCCGTTACACACTCCGTGACCTCACCGGCACTGGCCACTCTGAAATGCTTCCAGTCAAGCTCGGCCCCAAGAGTCCGAACAAGCCTCGGTTTTGAGTCCTCGAGTTGAGCGAACAGTCCCTACTGTGGGAGCAATGCCTTTTGGCGTCTCGTTGACATCGGCGATGAAGACGCCAGGTACGCAAGAGCGGCGTGGCGCAGTGCCATAAGCGCGTGAGCGGCTAGCCTAGCCGCCGTAGTGCAGAAATCGTGGCATCGTCAGCCAGCTGGTCGTCTTGGCCGTGGTCGTGGTCGAAGTCTTTGCAGCCATATGCTGCTGGGGCGAGTGGTGGTAATTCGAACCTTAGTTGGGCGCTCCTTGTCCCCTTCCTCTTCATCGCCCACGTCGAGAGCCCGTCGCCGCTTCCGGCCCTTCTGCTGCGATGTGTTGGGCACAGCATCTTCTGCAGTGGCTGAGACTTCTTCGGCTGAGACTTCTTTCGCAGAGCTGACGTGCTTCTAAACGGGGCGCTCCTTCTCCTCGTCATCTTCCTCGGATATCCTCCGCCGCTTCCTCCTGTGCGGTGCGGTCAGAGGGCTTTCGGCGGACAGCGGTGGTGTCGGAAACCGGCCTGCTTGGCGTGGCCTCCGTGGCCTCCGTGGCCGGTCTGGTGCTGCCACTGTTTTCCCCGGCTCGACTCTGGCGCCAATATCATTACCGCCTTTGTCTTTGTCGTCGTCGTTGTCGCTGCCATCGTCAGAGGTGGCCCCCTCGAGCTCTTCCAGCGCCTTCAGCTCGGCCTTGCGCTTCTCTTTAACCTCTGGTGGCGTGCGCCCTATGGGCCAGTCGTCGGCGGCGTCATGGTACATGACACGTCTGCATATCTGTTCTGTCAAAACCGCATCAAGGTGCAGTTCAAGTGCAGCAACGAATTGGTCATCGTAGGCTTCCTGGGCTACCGGTGTGCCCGCGCGGGGAACGAGGAAGGCACCTTGAGTGCCAACAATGTCGAGGAAGTCCTGCAAGTTCGCGCTGCTGTTAGCCAGTGGGCCGCAATGCGAAACTGGATCAAAAGAATGCAGGCTTACGATGGGCAGATCTTGGCTGGCCGTGGTAGTGGATGGGCTGTCTGGCCGCGATGTCATGACCAGTGATGGCTGTGTGCAGGGACGACACGAGTTGGCCGTTTTTGCCGGGCTGTTTTGGGTGGAGGTGGGAAAGGTGGGGAGGTGAGCCTTCAAATAAAGTCGGAAATCCACGAGTCAGCACGGGCGCGGCGAGGGAGCGTCATCACGTGATCTAAGAACTATGTGGGGCACGACAAGGAGGTGGCACGAACCCTAGGCCTGGCCACAGCTGGAAACGACAGAACACAGGGCAGCGGCATCATTACAAAGAGAAACGAAAATTCAATTGCTACAAGCACTGGCCCACTGGATACGGTATTCTATCTACGCTAGTGCTACTAGTCTCTCTCTTGCACAACCATGACATGCCAGCCAGGTGGCCTTCCAAACGACGCTTACTTACACTCCCCATCTTTAAGGCCATACTCCAATCGTCGTCTCTTCGCCTGCGGAGATTCGGGTAGCAAGGGCCCTAAGCTGGGTGCTGGAGAACTTCGTCGATGTCCAGGCGCTGCGCTGCGCATGATTATTTGCTGCCCACTGGTATCTCACCATCTCAATAAAGAGACGGTTAACTGCGACGGGGTTTTGGATCAGCCAATCTGCCACCAGAAGCCATTGAAGCCTTGCAATATGGAACACTCACGATGTATGTAGCCTCTGGCCGACGACGCGCGCACTCTTATAATCCCTGGCCATTTATGAATGGCATTCTGATAGCTCTTCCGGAAGGACGGGCGCAGCTTCTCGTTGTCCTTGGCGTCGCGCTACGGGGTTGACGGAGAACTTCCACGGGTGGTAGTTGTACGTCAGCTCGAACAAGATGATGCCCATGGCCCAGATGTCGATGGAGTGGTCGTAGTCCTCTAGCTCCGATCTTGCCGGCCGTGCCCGGCTCGAGCCGTAACGACCCACCTGTCTGCATGTGCCTGGATGTGCCGACGTCCAGTAGGACGGAGCGGAGCGGCCTGCCGATGAGGCCAATGTTGGTCGGCTTCAGGTGCCCGTCTCACTATGGTAAAACCGTGTCTAAAACTTCCGAACCAAGTCACTTCGGGGCCACAGACCTGCAGCGGCGGCTATTGAGACTCTGTTAATAAGGTTAGCTTCCACGTCCTGGCATGGACAGAAAGACGCCAGTCGCGAATGACGTGGCGCGGGATGACACGGCGCTTCAGCAGCTGATCCAAGACAAGGTAAGTCTCATCTCAAACCCCCATTCCCCACACACCCCTCCCCCCTTGCAAGAGCATCAATAATTGGTACGCCAGTTCCCGTCCACCAACCCAATAATACTCGGAGACTGGGAGGTCGGGATGGGCCAGTTTTCCTCTCTTCAAGAGGGCCTGCCGCAGATGCGGAAGCTCTGCGGCGTAGTGGTCAGGGTGCACAGCGAGAACGGCGCGGTGCGGGTGGGCGGCGAGATGTACAGCAACGTCAAGACGGAAAACGTGGAGACGGGGCGGCATCTCAAGGACGAGCATTTCCTCCTTGTCGTGGACGCTAGCAACTTCCGCCGGTCCAAATTCGATAGAGGGTGGAGAGCAGTCGTCGAATGGACAGTTGATCTGCACCGGTGCGTCCGTGTATTTTTCCTTTAGAAAATCCAGCAGGTCGTGCAGGGGCATTGTCAGAGACACCCCTCCCTGCGGCATCGCCCCATGGGTAGATCGTCGTGGCGTTCCGTCTCCTGGTCCAGGCTCTCTGGCCGGTCTGGCGGTGCAGCTGTGTCAGGGAGCCGAGCGGCGTAGTGCTTGATCGCCTGAGCCAGGCCCTCTGGCTTGGCCACGGTGCACCACCAATTAGAGACAGCATTGGCGTAGATATCGGTAGTCGTAGCGCGTGCCCGTTTGCCGCGCAGGTTCCAGCGTAGTTTGCTGAGCGCATCCAGGGTGGTGCCGATGGCGCACAGCAGGAAGACTTCGAGGGAAATGGACAAGAGCTTGACGAGGATCGTCCTGGCTTTTTTGCGGTGATTGTTGCCAATGATCGTGACCGGGTCCTTCCCGACGACGGCTACTGCCTTTGATAGCCTGTTTCCTCGAGATCTTCCAGGGGGAGAATCCGCTGGAAACCCTCCGAATCCCGTTGTCGAGCACGGCGATAAGGCTGATGTGGTCTGTGAGCGCACGGGTGGGAGCCATAGAGCCATCTGTGACTCTTACGTCGTTACTTAGTCTAATCAAACAGGACCCTCATGATGAGACAAGCAAACAGCGCCAACAGAGGCTCGTACAGAAGCTCGACAATGCCGCCCAAATATCCTTTGCCGAACGTACCCTCCAGCAGGACCACATTCGACTCCTAGCCAAGATGAACAACGAAGCCAAAGTTCGCCGATCGACCAAGTCAGTAGTACTAGGGAAGGCAAAGGTGATGAGCTATAAGGATATCGAAGCACGAGCGAAGCGTGCTGAGGAAGCCGCTGCGGCTCAGGGAAAACGAGGTCGGAGGTGCGGGAGTGCTGCGCCAGAGCAGATGTGCCAGAGCCAAAGGCTAAGATGGCGCGGATGAGCGGAACACAGCTTGCAGACGCAGAGCTATGGGCCCAGAGGCGCGGATGCGAGAACACCAGAGCCATGGAGGGCCCCAGTGGCGCGGATGACCGAAGCGCAGGTTGTGGAAGATGGGGTTGTGGCATGCGGTCTCACCTTGGATCGGTTTGAGCAGGCTCGCGTGGGCTTTGCGAGGTTGATAGACAGTAAATGACAATAAGTCTTGTCGCATTTTCAGCGCAATAGGCTGGTGTTGTGTCGGTAGGCTGCACTTGTCATGCTTGGGGTGACCGTCCCTATTATCGTGCCCGCTGTAGTGCTCGCCCTTATGTTGCCTGTCGCCGTCGCTCTCTTCGTGCGCGCCTTTATTACGCCTTGTCATGCCTTACGGTAGGCGTTCCCGGCATCGTCGTACCCGTCGTCGTTGCAGATGCTCTGCGGCGGCGAAGACGCGCTCGATTGAACCAGAAACCCGCTAGAGACCGTTTTTGATTCTCAAAGTGTGAGGCCGGGCAGCTGGCTTTACCAACAGCGCCACAAAAGAGTGTGAATTGAGACTCGATCTCGATTCCCAACTGCCAGCTACTTATACGCTCACAGGCTAATGTCGCCCGCAGGCCCTGATACATTTTGCTCTTAAACAGAGCCGAAGTGAGAATTGGGTACATTTACTATCTATCCTGCAGCTGATGTAATTCTAGTGGCCGTGATAGCCACCACAGAATGGCTAAATTGCTCGCTACGCGTCTTGGAACCCAGGGGCAGGCGATAAGGTGCATTGCAGGCATCAACTCTTTAAGCTTTGTCGAAGGCTATCTTCAGGTATACGGGGTTTGAGCTTCTGAAGGGCTTACTTGGTAAGGGTTTGGCCCTTACCCACTCTCTTGCTGACCGTAGTTCTGTCGAGACCACTCTTTCCCCGGCGAATCTTTTCGTTGAACCATAATCTGATACTATCTCGTTCGCAAGAATTAAGCACCGTGTCTTCAACCATCAGTATGCCATATATGTAGGATATAGACCAGGCCTCCAATAAGTCGCGCCAGAAGCCTGGAGAATCCTGGAGGAGAGTCCTGATAAAGCTCTCTAGGAGGAGAGCGTTATTAGGATAATAGACGTTATTAGGATAATAGACGTTATTAGGATAATAGAAGATCTCGTGGCAATGGAATCTCTGCATAGATGATAGATTGTTGGGGGGGCTAAGGCCGATATATGTGCTTCGAAGCAATACAACTCTTTCGGGTCCAAACAGCCCTGCTGGAAATTGGAACCGCACGGAATTGTTATCTAGCATCCGGTATCCAGGAATTTTCATAGGATTAATCCGTCGAGTTATCTCGTCATCTGGAAGGAGTTATGGATCGATTATACCGTAGGACCATGGGGCGGGGCGAAAACCTGCCTCAACCAACTTCCGTGCGGCGAGGTCGAAATCAGACTCAGAAGGGATCAGCATATAGCCATAGGTTATATTTGTTAGTATAATTATTGGCAAGCATAGGAGAAGACATACATTAAGTAGTGTCACCGCTCCGAGAAAGGCCATTGCCTGTTCACCCCAAACAACCACCTTGACTGGATGCAACGCCTGAACGACGGATTCGAACGCCATTGTGGCAGTGAGGGCGGTAGAAGACTAGCTGAATGCGTCCACCGCGGGCGTGCAGCGTGCGAGTGCTTTGTGCGGGAGGTTGCGTGACAGTGGATTTTATTGCGGAGTGGGATAAAGATGCTTATCATGAAAGTCTGCCCCACCTCGTGCACGGCCACCACCTTGTGCAGATCCTCCCGCTGTTCAGATCCTCCCGCTGTTCCGCTGTGCAGATCCTCCCGCTGGCACGATCCTCCCGCTGGCACGATCCTCCCGCTGGCACGATCCTCCCGCTGGCAAGATCCTCCCGATCGCACGATTCTCTCGATTGCATAATTCTCTCGATCGCATAATTCTCTCGATCGCACAATCCCCGCGCTCTCAACCTTTTTGGCATAGGGTTCGGGCCGAGGCGCGTTGACATTATTCCGGTTCAGCCTCCTAAGCTTGCGACCATCGTAGCGTCCCCTTCCTTAACTTTTGCTCCTGACATTGCATATTTATTCCTATCCATTCGTGTACACGTTCCTATAAAATACTACGCAACCGCATATAGCTGATATCAAGTCGAGCAAACCAAGAGCGACTTAACTATTACCGCTCATGACTACATGTAGCGCAGCTCCCTTCTGGAGAGACCTTAACCCAACGCTTGCAGGAACAACAGTAGCAAACCCGTTTGGATCATTTCGCAAACTGGATCCCTAGAAACCAAGGGAAGAAGATCCTTCGAAACTGCAGGTCATCACTGTGGTGAGTCATTCCCTCCACCACTCTTCATGACAGGCCCAAGACCATGCTGAGGCTGCATACTATAACCCCTGCTTGTGTTGAGCCCATTACCCTCTGCCATGACCTTCGACGCTTCATAGGCGAGGTCGTGCTTTATGCAGTTCCCCATGACCCTCCGTCCATGAATGCTTCCTAAGGGATGTGCCTAGTACTTCTTCTCTCCTGCCACGCGCGAACCCGGAAGCTGATATTTAAATTGCTCACTATGGACCGCTGCCGAATGATTGCACGCGCCCGACTAATTAACGGAAAGATCGGCGATGAAGCGGAGCAGTGGTACGATTGAGTCGGCATCTGCACCGTCCTCTTATAGCCCGCACCCGCGCTGAAGGACACCACGGCCTCTGCGGTGAAGGAGCTGACCAACGGGACACCCTCTGTCTAAATCCAAGCTACTCCTTCATGAGCTTCAGGGTGCTCGCGACGAGCTTCAACTCCGGGGTGCTCGCGATGAGCTTCAACTCCAGGGTGCTCGCGACGAGCCTCAACTCCAGGGCGCTCGCGTGTCCTGGCCCTCGTGACCACATTTCCTCCGGTTTGAAGTTCCGGTCGCTGTGCAAAACCAGCGCCCCCAGATTCTGGAAAGGATTGAAACGTGTGTTGAACTTCTGCCTTGTGGAATCTGCTTCCGCCGGCGTCCCATTTGCGGCAAATATGCGTAGTATAAGGGAACTTCCTCATTGCCCAGCCGAAGACATTTATAGTGTGTCGCGCTTGCGCTTCGTGTTTACTGTAGTTCATCCTCGGTTTAGGGCATTGAACAGGCGGCTCGGCAGGCTGCTCAACTTCGGGATGTTGTAATCTTCAAATGTTCATTAATCAAAATAACAGTGATCGAAAGCCCTGCCAACCTTATCACACTGACAGAGGGCGCTTGCCTCTTCGGCAGCTTCCTCACAAAGCTCTTCCATATCTCCCTCAGCCTTCAAAGCCCTGCGAAACATTTCACGCTGACGGAGGGCGCTTGCCTCTACAGCAGCTTTCTCACAAAGCTTTGTCAGATCCTCCTCGGTGTTCAGATTCGGATCTACCGTCGATGGCTTGTGTCGTAGGGGACTCATGTTGACTTGTCTGTACCTTTGGAAGAGATTTATTGATGTTAGAAACAATTCCAGTTTTGAAACGGGTAGACGGTCGCGATCTGTGTGATTGTGTTTATGGCGTAATCATGTGCGTCCAGAAATAATGGAGGGCAACTGGTAAGGATGGAATGAATGAGAGCCGGTAAGGCAACGAGTTGAAGAACCTGTTGGCCGCGTCGGGCGTAACTGCTTGATATAACATCCTCTCCCCGTTGCTGATCCCAGATCCGAACCCCGAGTCAGTTTCCGGTACGACAGAAGAAGGACGAACAGGGTCCTTCGGCTGCGAAAAGCAGTCATCGCATTTCCATGAGACAGACCACTTTTGCGCCGGCGACCTCACCAAGCTTTGCTTCATTTTGTAAGGAGGCATCGTTCGAGTTCCTAACACGGTAGTGTTCCTGTACTCTTCCAAATAACAACCGCTTGTCTTTGTATCTGCGGCCGAGATAATACCGCAGGCATTAGTGGCGGAGGGACGGCGGAGAGACTGTAGGAGAGTAGCGAAGGAGGATGATGTGCGCTGAAGCTAGGCACGGGCCCGCCCAAACCAGCACATCCCAAAACAGCACGTTTGGCGCATTACAGCTTTGGAAGCATTCTTCTGCAAGTGATCAGGCTCAATCAGGATAAATAAACGGCTATAAGTTAAACTATTATTTGTAGACTAGTCACTGGCGAGAATGGGATCCAGGCACGAGAAGTTGGATTGGGTTTTTTCCAGAAAGTAGTCATTCCCTCTTCAATACTTGACAAGCAGCGATCCTCTACTGTTCTGGACCGTGAGAATTAGTGATGCATGACTCTGTATTTTTTTGCGTGTGTATATATAGCCCGTCTCAGCGGAGGGTTCGCCGCCAACATGGCATAAATTCGAAGGTTAGACACCAGCCTGGATCGAAAGTCCTAGGTCATGACATCCACCCGAGACCACAAGTCAAACCACTCCCGAACCCAGCCAGCCAACCCTCACATCACTCCTTCCTCGCGTCCACCTCCTCCTCTTTCGTGACATCCACGTCCCACTATTATCTCAATCCTCCTCCTCTTCCTAAGGTACGACTCCACAAACTCCATGCTCTTCGCCTGGTCACTCTCGGATACCGGTTGCAGCGCTGGTAGCTGTGGGCTTGATTGTGGCGGCAGGCTGGACCCCGACCTCGAGCCGTCGGAGCTGCGACGGCTCAAGGAGCTATTGCGGCGCGAGCGGGGCGCTGGACAGCTGTCGGAGCGTTGGTGCTGGAGATGAGGTGGTTGCGGATGCGACTGGGGGTGTGATGGATGCGGATGGTGGTGTTGGCCCGGACCAGGGGTTGGCGTCTGCGGAATCTTTGTGGGCGTGAAGTACGGTGTTGCGGGATGGCCAGTAGGAGGAGAAGGATGGAGCAGGAAGACGGGAGCGTTGGCGCGGGCGCTCATTTCTTGCTCACCCAGATGCCAGTGCGTGCTCTCGGCGGATCTCCGAGGAATCTGCATCTCCGAGGCCACTTTTTGCCACATCTCGTCTTTGAATCTGTGGAGGATGTTAGTGAGGGTTTCAGAAAATGGGTGAAGGGGGTGTGAGGAGATGAATTCTGGACGCTGTGGAACGCCATCTGGTGATGACCAAAATTCAAAGGTGCTCGTGAGAGCGAGAGATGCGTTAGGAAAGTGGTAGACTAAATAACCACATGTTTGCAGCGTTACGCGCCTCGTCATATTTGAAGAGTGGTGGTTGAGGGTGGACCTACTGAGCATAGAGTCTCGCCAACTTGTTTTTCTTCTCTTCGTCCCAGACTACGCACTTTTCGAGGTAGTTTTGGTATCGTAGTCGGCATGCGATGGCTGATCGTCCTGGAAAATGCTTTGCGATGTCCTCCCATTTCATGTCTGTGCCTCGGAGCTCGATGATTAGATTGTCCTCCTCTTGACTCCATTTTGGGGGTTTCTTGACTGGACTTTCCTCGGGCAACGGAGTCTGTGACGTAGCGCGCCTAATAGGGGGAAGCGGAGGTGAGCGATGGGGTGACGCGGGAGGTGGTTGACTGAGGTCGCGGTCGATCAGAAATTTGACACTCATGCGACTGCCACTCTGGCCTGGGAGGCTCGTGGGTTGAGGTGAATATTTTGTGGAGCAGTCCAGGCTCGACGGGTTGATATTGGCCATGTGTGGGATGTGATTAGATGATTGGCACAGGATGCAGCCTTAGAGGAGAATGTAAGGCAGAAAGCGGTGAAGATGCAGGAGATGCAGGCGAGAAGGCAAACATGCGTCCTTACTCTAGCTGGGCGTAACCAGCTCTATCGGTCCTCTCCGTGCCGCACTTCAGATCCTTTGAATCTATTGTGTTCAAGTCCTAGCTCTTTGACAACCTACCCGTCCCGGCATCCGATAATCACTAAGGGGTTGAAGTGGCTGACAATCTTTCACGTTCAGAATGCGCAAATCTAGGGGGACCAGAAAGCTTGCTACTCTCTACTGAGATATGGGCGGCATCATATCCGACAATGCCGACTGCACTACCCGCGCCGCTTGCGCGTCACTTCTCGATATTCGGTACGCTAAAATAGAGCTGGAGCAGGATGAGGTGTGGGAGGTGCAGGTGCGGAGATTCACGGCGATGATGCTAAGATTCGCGAGGTCGGCCAATCATCGCAGGCTTTTGATTTCGGTACACGTGCCTTTAAGGGTGTTGAGTTGCCAGCGCGGCGGAATTTGCCGGGCGCCCAGTTTCAACCAAACTCTAACTCTAAACTCTAAACTCCGCCCACATACATCTAGCTGCTACCGAGCAAAACGAGGTAAGCGATTACCCGTAGCGACGAGAAGGTCACCATCCTCAAGCCGCCGGTAAAGATATGGCACGATCTCGAGAAAAACGGGCTATATAGATTTAATGAGAAATTCGGGACGGCACTAGGTGATACCTAGTGGTAACTTAGAGAGAAATTTAGGAAACTGTATGGACTCGGAGCTATAGACAAGGTCGTGTGTTGGATTGCCGATTTTCTGCTTCATTGAGAATGCTAGCTACTTGCGAATGGTCCTTCTTCTCTGCCCAGAAGCGTGGTGTCTTCCCTCTACTATCCAACTTCAAAGGATCGGCTCCTTGCTCTAACAAGTACTTGACGATGTCTGGCTTGCCTAACTCCGCGGCTCGGTGAAGTGGCGTCCCAGGCCAAACGGTTCACGCTTCCAATACACCACCGGTTCCTTTTCATATTTGACTTCATTGATTGGTGCCCCTTGCTCCACAAGCCGACGAACCACATCTAGAGCATCGGGTGTGTCCCTGTGGACAGCATATTGGAGGAGTTGGCCACAGCGAGCGTCGGCTCCTCGAGAGAACAAATAGTCTATAACTTCCAGAGGAGCCAAGTACACGGCTCGAGACGTGGGGGTGTAATCCCACACGGGTATTGGGATCGGCACCATGGTTGAGCAACCACTTAACCATTTCTCTATCCGAGGTACATATGCTAGAAACTGTCAGCGAACTTAGAATGAAATGTTAGCAATGAACAAAGAGCGTACCTCAACACAGGGGGTTCGTTCCGACCCTTGGATTGGTTTATATCCCATCCGTACTAAAAGAGCAGTTCCAACACTTCCCAGGCTCGCCCACGTACAGCAAGCTCAGCAGGAAGATTTCCATCTGCAACGTTCTCATCAAGCAAGAATCGCACTATTTCGATATTCCGCTTGCGAATGGCTATGGAAAGCGATCGGTACGACCACGCCGGATGGGGCTTCTCCGGCGAGGATACCGGACGAGGATGATGTAGGAGACATAGAGCTTTCTTTTTGACTTCCTCGAGATCTCCCCTACAAGCGGCCTGGTAACAAAGCTCGACTTTTCAGGCCTGAAAAAGGGGGGTCCAAGTCCAATCGGCGATGGTGTACGAATTCTCCGGGGTATCTACATTTTCGTAATGCAAAGGAGGTTGAGGTTGAGGTTCAAAGCAGATGGAAATTGTTGGTTGCTGGGAGGTTTATCGTAGGATAGGAGATGGAATGGTTGGGAAGTGCAAAAGGCTCCAATGTTCGACGTACGTTTCCGTGGTCGGCTAATTGAATGGCTTGTCGGGTGCCACGAGTATGCTTGCGGAGAACAAGTCCACAGCTGCCCATGACAGGCAAAGCGGTTGTATGATCTCTTGCCTCTAGCGGTGTGCTCCGAGCGTTCAAAAGGACGGCATGAGAGTTGACGTTCGATGAGGCTCTGTGGCTTAGTCGCAGAACTACGCTAGCCGGCAAAACACGGAGAGTGGCGCGTGACGTATTAATTGGAGCCCAGCTGAGGTGTGTGGTGGGGCAGTCACATGGTCCCCCAGATGCCTACCCCTCCGCCAAGATATGCAAACTTCGACAGCGCCTTAAAAACGCCCCCTTTTGCAGCAAAGTTTGTGTCGTCTCTCAGGTAGGCAATGCACTGTACCCTACAGCTGTCTCCCATTTTATTGACATGCTGTTTATCTAGAGATCTACGCAGAGCCCACCAAAACAAGCAACCCACCAACTCCATCTACCTACGCTACCCATGCCATCGCATCTCGAGCAATTCCTAATACATGTTGATAAAGACGCAACCAATTACCCTACAGAAGTGTATAGTAGAGGGGCAGGTCTCTGCCCTGGAAAATCAGAGAGAAAAATTTGTAACAAAGCAAACTCCAGATGTACGTTTCTCTTAGCCTGCACTGATATACATATCTAAATATACCAGCTCTCGGGGCGCTCAGGAATTTTCCAAGCGGTTGGGCCACCTAGATCAGATATAGGGGTCGCAAGTGATCAGATAGTTATCCCCATTCGAATCACGAAGGATAGCGTATACAGAACCGAATACAAACACTCCTCAGATCTTTGGGCCATGGTATCTTCTGCGCCGCTGGGAAGCCAGCATTTATCAGCGACAGTGTGAGCTATGTAGCGTGGATGAAATAATGAGAGGCTATTCGGTTTGTTCGAGGGGATATCGGAGGGGTTGGTTGGCACGTGGGGGAGCCATCGTGTTGTCGTGGTAGTTGTTTGGGATATTGGAGGGGTTGGTTGGCACGTCGGGGAGCCGTACAATCGTGTCGTCGTGGTAATTGTTTGGGATGTCCTCTAGTTGGAACTGCGATTCCCCATAATGGCCTTTGAGGTATTAGCGAGAGCTGTGATTTATAATGTATCTTTCGTACTTACCTTGAACTTATTGAGTCTGCGGCTGCTGAGGATAATCGCCTGTGAGGAAGACGTTAGCGTTACTAATAGAAGGGATTCCATGTCACGCACTGTTTCCCGCTCTTAAGCATATACCTCCGGATGATATACGCCCATTTGCCGGTATGAGACGCCCAAATGAGTTAACTTGTGATACTTGGCTCTCCTGGTTATAACAGGTGGCTGCTTGGAGTGTAGACGAAGGGCCGGTGAAGGGTCGCGAGTTTGATTCACTATGTGGAGGATCAGCGTTAGAGCTCGGCAATTTGGAGGTGGACGGGTTGGGTACCTGGAAGCACTTTCGGGTCCACCTAAGGGTCCACCTGAGGCAGGTATCAACTTGCGGCGAGTGGTACGATGAGCCATTGGAGCAGAATATTGCGATGAAGATGTGTGCACATTAGTCGCCAATGTCTGGGAGCCAACAGAAAAGGCCGCCTCCTGCTGTCGTTTTCGTTTTGCGCTACGACTAATTTGACTATCGTAATGAAGTTGGGCATCCTCCATCCAGGGCGTCGCATCTTTGGCAAGTTTTAGCAGTTTGCGATAGCTTAGAAATTCTCGGATGAAAATTGGAATGTCATCATAACGTAGCATGTGCCACTGACGATATACAAACGGCGAAAGGGATGATATTCCAACGATGCTCTTGCCATCGGTAATGGCCTCTAGGAGCAGACGTTCGGCTTTGTGAACGTCGGTGATGGCTTCTAGGGGCAGACGTGCGGCTTCGGTGATGGCCTCTAGGAGCAGACGTTCGATGACAAGATGTTTTATCCCGCGATTGAGGGCGCGCGACAACATATCTAAATCGTCGGGGGAGATTCCGATGGAGATTCTGAGCTCCCTCAGGAATCTTTTCCCAAGGCTTTTTTTTTTGAGTGCCTCCTTTACGTCTTTCGTAATTGCTTGAACTCTTGAAGGACACCCGTATCTTGTTAGTTCCCATTCCTCAAATGCTAATGCAAAGCTTCTCTCGGCCAGGGTAGCTCGAAACTTAGCCTGAGCGCTGTTAGCATGGATGTTGGTGCCATAGACGATATCGAAAAGGCGATAGTCTCGTAGTTCGCTCGGTGGATGGCCAATTGCATCTTGTACCTCTCTAGATGTAAATTCTTGAACTTTGTCGTAGAGAGAATCCAAGGTTTCGAGTAACTTTAACTTGATTCCACCATCGCCAACAGCTGACGCGTTGCTGGTTCTGTCTGAGGACGAACTTGGCGGAGAAGGCGGAGAGGTGCCATTGCTGGCTCTGTCTAAGGAGGGACAGGACGGAGAAGGCGGAGAGACGCCATCGCCAACGGCTGATGCGTTGCTGGCTCTGTCTGAGGAGGGACAGGGAGAAGGTGGAGAGGTGCCATTGCAACTTACGACTGATGCGCCGCTGGCTCTGGCCAAGGAAGAAGTCGACGTGTCTCTAGAGCTGTTGGGAGAGAGGAAAGATGGAATATTGTTGGAATTGACAGTGGCTATGGCAGAGGATTGGGACGCAGGCAAAAGTAACAAAAACTGAAACCTTTGTGCTGTCTCGTATACTTTGGTGCGTTCAAGGTGGAGTAGCTGCAGGAGATCATCATCAGAGGCATTGCAGAAGCTATCCAAGGTAGATTTGAGGATATCCATGTTGAGGAGGAGGTGAGTTGGAGCGAAGCCCAGCGAGGCGTCCCGACAAAGTCCTGCCGCCATTTTGCCTGGTCCAAGCGGGCTGCAGGCTGATTGGACCATCCACCTTCCCCGCTCTGAACGGCAACATGAAGGAAACGCCACTATCGCAACACGTCGAACGCTCCGGGCTGTTTCTTGATGCCATCACTAAGGCCTCGACTGCTTTTCAATCCATCGTTGGCAAGCGAGCCAGCCCGTTCATGGAGGGCTGTGCGGTTCGCGGTAATGTTCCCCAGCTGAGTTTCGCACCTTCATAGACCTACTCAAAAAGGCGCGGATCTTAGGAACCGCTGTCGAACATCGCCTACAGGAAGTGGTGCCGCAGCTGGCTGGAAAAGTTCCTTTCAGCTGGCAGCTGGCGGAAGCTACGATGATCTGAAGTGCGGCACGGAGAGGACCGACATGGTGATATATAGAGCTGGTTACGCCCAGCCTGACAGACATTGCATTGCAGTGTCTCCTTGCATTGGAGGTTAGGATTCTCCCATTATCTCTTTACACATACTAACTCGTTATCAAGCTTATGCTTCTTTATTAAATCTTTGATCAGCTTTACCCTTTGAGTATAGTCATTGGAGCACTACCCTTTGCATCGGCGGTAATTGTTGGAAGCTTCCGCATCTAGTGAGTTGGTCATCAAAGAATGCATATTCCGAACTAATCTTTCTGCAGGGGATCCACTGAGATTCAACGTTTTTCAACTTACCAAACAATCGCAATCCATGCTGCATCATCTTCCTGTATTCTCTTGCGGATTTTGAAAGGGTTAATCGGCTTGATACAGGGAGCTGGCGATGCGCGGTCTCCAATCAAAGGAAAGCACATCCACAGAAAGCACATCTGGGCAGTACTTCAACTGACCTCCCTGGTGCTTCGAGTACATCTAGCGATCATTCTCTTGAGTCTGCCGTCCAGGTTACAAAAGATAGAATTGGCGTATGACTTGGTGAGCGTCTTGGAGAACTATCTCAATCGACCTACTAATACATGCAGTATTATTTCTTTGCAAGTACTTCTGGATCCCTCCTTGTTACCCCCTTGCTGAAAATCATCGCATGGATTACCTGCAGGCCTAGTTCTACCGACCCTCGCGAAAGATACGAATCGAATATTGATTTCGAAACCGCATCAACTATTAGACTCAGAGAAACAGATGAGGCCGGTTCTCAAGGCTTAGGGATACAAGCCGCCGCGAACAAATTCGGTTCGATTAGCAGTCAGACCCTCGCGGGGTCCAGTAGCCAGGCAGTAAGTGGAGGCTTCATTGCCGTTTTCAAAGGCTGAGACGAGTTACAGACATTGAGCGAAACCGGATCTGCCAGGTGCGACTGTTCCTATGAGAAGCTGCACTCACAAACCGCCTTCACATCCGGCTTTTCCAAATCGCCAAATAGTTCGCCATCATGGAGCCAATCGCCTGATCCTAGCTCTCATAGAGTCGATTGCGAAATGCACGCGCCCACCCCCTGTAGCCGATATTTTTTTTTTCCCCGCTCAACACACCCAAAATCAAAGGGAACACCCCCTTCCCCCCCAACCACGCAGCCGTATACGTGTCAAATACCTTAATAAGTAACTGCCCTGCCCTCTATAATATGCTCTATACCTAATTAGGCCAATTGTATAGCCTTTATTTGGTTGCAATGACAAATACACGCCACCAAAAGCGAAGTGCGCCCGGGGATCCGCCTGGGGATCCTGATGCTACACCCCCTCCACCCCCTCCTGCCCAAAAAGGACGCCGGAAAGCACCAGTAGTGAATGCTAAGAGGGCTAGGAAGCCCTCCCAGAAGGCGGCAGAGTCTGCAATTACTGCACGCCAGCGTAAAGAGAAGGAGAAGAAGCAGCAGAAAGCTCCACGAGTTGTACCTAAGATTATTGCTCCGCCTGCCCCAAGTTCTCCGCCACTTCCACAAACCCAAAGCAATTTTGTGCATATTAGCAATAAGGAAAACGCATTCCTACAGCAACTAGAAGCTATACGCAACGGGCAGGTAGAGGTGACGCCCTTATCGCCACCTCTACTACCTAGTGTAGAGATTGGAAGTGCATGGGAAGTTCAGATTAAAGGAGAGAAAGAACCAGAGTCCAACCGCTCTGCTACTCGTCTACTTGGCAATTCACTGTTCCTAGCCTTCACAGAATAGGTTAGAGAGGAGACTGTTGGCTTCCCTCTACTGCCCATAGGCCAGGTGTACAAGATTGTTATAATATGGGGCCGGGCGTCACATAAGAAGCTTCCAAAGGCCCAGGTTATAAGTTCTAAAGTAAAGGGCGAACGGCAGGTGTTAGAGCTGGAGGACTTAATTAAGAGCTGGTCAACTAAATGGCCTAAGCGACTATATTATCTGGATCTAACAGCTATTATACGTGTGCAGCTAGACGAGACTGTCTATGCAAGCACAGAAGGAACCCCCTAGGTGACACCCGGTCCTTAATATACACCTTATTATTCATCTATTACTCTATCTACACCTTAAACTGGCCGGCGTACTGCTATACAGATGCAGGCCTTAGTTATAGGTAACAGAGTAGCAGCAGAGGAGGCTACTGGCAACTTTATTATTACTATTGCTCAGCAGTAGAGCTGCATAAATATAAACTGCGGCAATAAAACCTATACGTGCTGGTTTACTGGCTTAGATCTTCTACAGAATTACTATAAAGTTGATAGAGATTCTCTATAAGCTTAGAACCTAGAAATCCGTGGTGGAAGCTCTACAGTTAATGAGCCGTTGCATTGAATTGTCCTACGGCTAGCTAATAATAAGGCCAGAGAGAAGAGAGAGAGAGGGGCGCCCGCGCTGCCGCAGCAGGTGCAGCCCTCTTAGCCAGCAGCTGCGCAGCCAACTATAGTGTTCCAAATTCCATAAGCACCTGCCCTAGTGCAGTACCCGTATTACTATAGGCAGGCACCGCCCTATAGTTAGTTTCCACCGCCGTACCAGACGCCCTACCCACCTCAATACTATAGCTATAGCCCTAGCCCTAGCCCTAGCCTTAGCCCTAGCGAGAGGTTATTACCTACCTATAATAATCCGGAGGATATAATAAGCGAGTTCTTTAATATTTAGTTAGTTGGGCGGCGTAGATAGTTATCTAAGGATAAAAATCTGTTTCTAAAGTATAGAGATAAGATGGCAGAGCGTGGCTACTATATAGACGATCTAAGGGATAAAAGCGGCATTACTATAGAAAGCTGGATAAGTTGGGGTTTTAAAGAAGGGCACCTTCAACGGCTTTAAACAGATTCACGGGCGTTTAAGATTAAGCGACGAGCAGGGTAGCTATAAGAATAGGGGGCATATTTTGGTTGATTTTAGGCGGTTCCTATTAATATTTTAATGCCTTGTAGTCCTATTAATACCTGCAGGTGTCACGGAAATTCACTAATTATGTAAACCTTTAAACAAGTGCGCAAGCTTACTCCCTTTCTTTACTACTACAGCCTGTATATCCAGCATGCTAAATAAAGTTAACAGCCACCTTACAAAGGCGTAGCTGCCCTAGAGCGAACTGCAAAAAGGCCCTAAAGTTGTTAAACTTAGTGGCCAGCTTGTTGTTCCTTTTCATCCAACTCTTAAGCATGCTAAAGGTCTTCTCAATTAGGTTTATATCTGGCGAATACGGCGGCAAGTAGGAGAGCTCAACGCCGTGCAATTCGCATAGATCTTTTACCTCCTTTGAATGGTGGATAGATGCGTTGTTAAGAATAATCCGTGGCTGGCGTCCAGGCCCAAAATCTAGCTGTGGAATAACAGAGAACTCTAGCCAAGTTGTGAAGAGATCACGATTTACTCCACCCTGATAAATAAGGGGTGCATCTAGGTAACCCTTGTGCGTTAGGGCCGGCAGTATACTCCACCTCTTAGACCTCTGGAGAGGTACAAAATTAATAGGTGAAAGGCCAAGGGGTGCCCAGCCCTGTTTCCGATCGCCCGTTCTCTTATTGCTGGCGCTCTCGTCGACAAAGCATAGGTCCTCTATAGCCCACTCCAACTGGCGTCCTCTCCATGTAGCCCGGAGGAGAGCTGATTGCTGAGCAGCTCGCTGCTGAGTGATCTTTCTAGACTACTGATTGCGCTCAAGAACGCGATAAATCGTCCACTTAGAGGCCTCGACGACAAACTCATCGAATACTACCTGGCGTACTTCATCAAGATACGCAGTAGGTTGGTCTTGTAGGTAAGAGAGAACAAACGCCTCTTGCGTAGGCGTAAGGGTCCTTGGCCGGCCGAGCTTCATAGAGGGCGGAGCATAGAGTTCCCCCCAGAGTTCGAGGTTGAGGCGCATTCTCGCGATAGTTTTCCGGCTCACTTTGGTGCATTTGCTAATGTATCTAACGCTCTCATCTTGTTCTAGGCGTATACGGATCTCGTTGGCTACGTGAGGGCTAATGCGCTGCCCCATGGCATCAAAATAGTGAATAGAAATTGACGTTTCGTGGAGAAATGGGGGGGGAGGGGGGTGATCCCTGTGATTTTGGGTGTGTTGAGCGGGGAAAAAAATTCTCGGCTACAGGGGGGGGGGCGCGCGCATTTTGCACAAGACTCTATGAAAGCTGCGAGCCCACGCACTCCACACCGCGAACAGGATGTACACCGCGAACGGGATGAATTGTCAGCTACCGACTGCAATGGCCGCAGCAACGGCCAACCCAACTCCGCCGACGTCGGCCTCATCCCCATGAACGCTGGGACCTCGCAAGTACCCGGCGTGACAGTTGGTAGCTCAACCTCTTTCATTATTGATGCAACCAGAATCAGGTCCGACAGTACCAGAAGCGACCTCCAACTAAACTTCTTGCAGTCAACACAACGCGATAAAGGCGGGACGAATGCCGTGAAGCCATCTGAGGGCGACATCAAAAATATGCTTCAGGTATTAGTAGAGCTAAGTCAGCTTCAAGCTTCACCGAAGGAATTGGACAGGCAACAGGCAGGGCGATTTCTGGAAACACTTCAGGATGCAGAGCGGGATGTCCTTGCAAGAATTGATGTGAGCGAGGTAGAGAAGGCAAAAGTACACCAAAAATATGGCGGTTTGACGGGACAGTTGTATTGCCACTTTTGGGCTTCGAAGTGCAATCCTGACCAGCTTATGTTTATTATGTTTATTGATGGACTGTTATCGAACTGAAGTGGAACATTTTCTTGAGCTACATTCATATTTTATGTATTCCTATCCCGACAAGTACACTCGAGGTTACATCCTCTTTGTAACTTTACTTTCACACAAGTGCAGCTTAACCTCACGTGGTCAGGCGTCTAAGATACCGCGGCAACGGCAGGATGATTGTAAACGTCGTATGTGCAAGATGATTTCGAACCTTCTTGATAGCATGTCGTTTCACTTCCTCCCATAGATATTTCATATTAGTGTTTGATGAAGGACAGAAATAAAGGCATGAACGTCGTGATCGTAGCTGGAGCGGACGCGATGTAGCTGCGGAAGACCCCGTAGTGAAGGCAAGGACGCGATTTGGACGGACACGGGATCTCTATGCATGAGGGTGGCGTAACAAGTGAGCGCCCCCTAGAGGATTTCATCACCGCTGTCAGTAAAGCCAAGGCACGGGATGGCGGGAGGGTCGGCTCCCCAAATTTGACGAATTGGATCAGGGGGAAACATAATTTGCTTCTCCCTGCTATTTGAATGTTATATCAACCACATTGCCCGACGCAGCTAAGAGGTCCTTCAACTCGTTGCCTTCCCGCTGCATTTCAGCGGTTGCTCTCCTGCGCTTTCTAGTTACATACTTTTACGTCCTTCAAACTCTAGCCAACATGGCCGGGTATGAACTGCATCAAGGGCATCTAGCCTCCTTAGAACATCCTTCGCCGTATTCAAGTCCCCAGACAGGCGCCGGTGGCCAGAAGCGGCCAGCCGAGCCACAACATCATCTCAATAGTAATGTTTCTAGCAATTCCATAAAGAAACCGAAGAGGAAGTCCATCTCGATAGTACGGCTAGCCCAGCCCAGCATGCGTCTGATATCGAACACCTACCGTGAATGTAGGCCTGCGGTGCCTGCCGCTTTCGAAAAACGAAGTGCAGCGGAGAGGTTCAGTGCCAGTTGTGCAGAGCGCAAGGCCGAGATTGTGTGTACAAGCATCAGTAAGACATGCCACCTCCTTCAAATGCATGCTCCGCTGACCGCTTAAGAAGAAAGAGGTTGAGCAAGACAGAAACGAAAGAAATTCTACTGGACATTATCGCGAGTCTAAGGAGAATAGAGATTAAACTGGGTATTGGGAACAGCCCCGGGAACTGGGCTAGCACCCCAGATATTGCAGCATCTCCTACCTTTGGAAGGCCAGCTACACTGGATGAACCCGGCAAAGGCCAAGGTGCTTTATCACCGAGCATCGAGTCTGTCCAAGGGAACAGTTCGGCTGCTATTAGTCCGCAGCCTAGCCAGCACGAGGACTCACCCCTTACACCGTGAGCGGTGATTGTCGCCTCTCGTGGCCCGAGTGGGGCTTGGCAAGCCGACTTATTTTTGGAATCAGCCCAGCGTGACTTCATTACCCTCACGATAATTACTACTCACACGACCACATCGGCCACGGCTGCGCCCAAGATCATTATACTACAGGCGCTCTGCATTAGCACACTAACCTCCTCTTTCCTTCTGCAATGGACACCACCCCCGAAGATCATGTAGCAACACCAAAACCAAGACTTCGCAGGGCAGCATCCCCAGACTGGGGTTCAGAGGGACCCCCACGCGTGATGCTTCAAATGGGGGCCCGTATAACACGACTCGGCGATGACCAGATCGGAAAATCTGGCAGTAGAGTACGCCCGCGGGAGGAGGCCGCTCTAAGGCTCGTGGGCAACCAGACGGATGTTCCGGTCCCTGAAGTGTACTTCGGTACCTACAATGAGAACCATGGCGACCTATTCATGAGCATCATTCCAGGATCGCCTCTCAAGGACCACTGGGATACTCTCGATGAGAAAACAAAGGAGCGTCTCTGTCGCGACATTTGGAGCCTGATCGGAAAGATTCGACAGATCCCGAAACCACCCGAATTCAAAGACTTCTTCCTTTGCTCTGCCGACGGGACTTGCAGCCAGGACGTGTATATCGAAGATCTCAAGTCTCCTCCCCAGCCTCTTATCGATGATGCTGCCGTCCGAGCTCGGATATTTGAACGCTACTATCACTTTTATGGCCGAAGATATACCAAAGAGGAGATACTTGCTATGCTTCCTAGCTCTCAGAGCTCCGTCTTTACGCACTGCGACATAGCGCCAGGAAATATCATGATCGACGACCATACTCACAATATCACTAGGCTTATTGACTAAGAGTTTGCTAGCTAGTATCCAGATTATTAAGAATATCTAAGAATCCATAAAGCTGTTAACAATGACGATTGGCGGGACTGGATGCACCGTACAGCACCGCAGAAATGGGATTTGGCAGGTTTCGTCGCAGTGAGTAGAGTGCTGTTCTGAGGTCCGAAGATAGAGGACGTTCTCGGAGGGGAAGGGTTAGTAGGGAAATTTGTGCACTCCAATTGAGACTGTACGATCTTTGAAGGTTGTAAGATACGGGAGACGTCTCGCTTTGAATGGTGAGCACTGAACTTGATTGTGAGGATGCGGAACTGCGCTGTGACCAAATCCTGGCCCGATCGAACTATTGTCTCCATCTCTGCGGGTGCTGGTGCAATTCTCACCGTTGTCGTCATATCTCGACGTTTATTTCTGAAAAGGCCTGTTAATGTTATCAAGTCTCTAAAGGATACCGTGCTTCCTAGCCTTCAGCCTCACGAACCTTGTTTTCTCCCATGCCAGGAACTATAAAGACGAGATGGCTCCACTGATGATTCCTTATTGTTCTCTCCAAGTTCTTTTTTGCATCCATCCCATGTTTTCTCAGTACAGCAAGCAAGATGCCTTCCCTCCACCACCGTATCTCTATCCTCCTCGGCCTCCCTGCCTCCCTGCCTCTACAGTAGCCTTCAACTTCGATCTCCCCAAGCCGACCCTAATCCTCCAGGACTACTCCCTAGACGGCTTTACCCCGAAGCCCACCGCCGCCGCGCTCCTTGAACTGCGAAAACGCGGTTCAGGCGTTTGCGCGTACCTCAGCGGCTCCGTCGACACCACGATTACTTGCGGTGACGGGGCTTGCGGCTACGATCCGGATGTCCACTGGTGGGGCTGCTGCGACGGCGAGTCCAAAGGCACCCCAACGGGCTGCCCTATCATCACCAAATGCGTGCCCCACAGCCTCTACAACTCGTGCTCGCTGAATCCGTCGTGCTCGGCTGATCAAGGGCTAACGGCTTGGTATGTACCCTACTGTTTGCGAGCCAGATCTCTGCCAGCTCCCCATCAACTCATTAACTCATATGAGCACCTCACTCACCATCTCCAGCGCCGACACCGATCTCCCCTTCTGCGCCACCAGCTCCGTTTCACTCGGGTTGTAACAGCTACAACCTAGGATCAACAACTCATACGGTTCACGGTCACCTACGTACAGGCACTCCCCCCCTTTTTCTCTCTTCTTGATTCCCGTTCTTTGGTTGGTTGCTACTAGCGCGCACTCAGCGTGGCGAGGCCCTCTGTTCAGTTACACCAGGGTCCTCTTAGCAGTGTCCATTCCTTTCAGCTGGCCTCTATTCAGCTGAGCTGATAAGACCTAGGGGGTGGGCCATTTCCTATCAGTATATATTCGGCCCGTACGGCCACTACAATACAAGCAGAGTTTACATCAATTTCAACCTCAGTTTAGGTGGACCTGTCCGTAGCGATTTCGATCGCCTGTCAACATTCCTGTCAGGCCTAACAACATCTACCCGGGGTTTAGAACAAGATATTATGGATGAATGGGTAACTTTGAATTTCCATATACGCACCACTAGGGAAAAACATAGACCTAAGTAAGTCGCTTGTCACTGTCCACACATGCTCCCGAGTTTCCGCACTTCCCCAGTACCGTATCTAGCTATCCCATTAAAGGTTGCTTCTTAGTGCTGGGAGATAGTTAGATAATGCTTGTCCGTATTTATGAATAGAAAATCTTTTATATTTGGCCCCTAATGTTTGCGATGTGCTCTATTAAAATAGATATCAATCTTTGCACTCGCTATAAGACGGATAGATTCAAGGGTACACGGAGTAACGGAAAGCACCACCCTCTGTTGTTGAAATTTAAAGTTATGCAAAATCTTTACCGATAACTGTAGCTATTGCAAGCTGATTGTTCGAATCGGTTTTGTATTAATATTGTTTTGAGGAAATATTTTAGTTGTTGGTCCATGGCCAGATAGATCTTCTACCCTTACTGTCGGATTACAGAGAGAAGCAGTTCTGTGTTGATTTGAAGAGGCAGAAGGCCCGTATATATAGCCCCTTGGAGGAGGGAGGGGGGTGTACTCCCCCTGTACAGATATGGAAGGATGAAACCACTTAAAGGCTGCCTAGTTTCAACCTAGTTTCAACCTGAGGCTTACCAAAAGGGAAAAGTTGGTTCATTATCGAGTATATTTAGAGCGGCTGTATGAAATTGCTTGGGCTATGTAACGTAAAGGTCTGGATTCTTCCCCTTAGCTAATTCGCCACTTGCGAGTATTTATGCTCGCTCTAAGTTTTGCTCCTCCACTATTTTGCCATCTTTAGCAGCTTGACCCGGCTTGACCATCAGTGATCTTGTTGGACTGGACCGGAGTGGAGCGAACTGGAGTGGAGCGCCCTACAACCTGGAGTGGAGCTGGCTCTTACTCGCTCCTGGATGGAGTGGAGCCGAAGGTCCTGGAGCTCCTGGAGCTCCAATTGGAAATCAAAATCTCGTGATAGATTTCGTGGTGTTGAGGTTCAGCAGCCCGTGCAGCCCGTGCAGCCCGTGCAGCCCGTGCAGCCCGTGCAGCCTGCCCGTTTTGCATGCAGCCTAGCCTAGCTAGACTAGCCAGATTAGAAAACAGGGGATTCTGTCCTATTTTTAGTGAGCTAGCGCGTAGTTTATTGACCTAATCCCCTGAGAAGTTATCCTGCCCGTCTTACGCATTCCTGCACGCGTTTTTGAAGTTATTCGCACTCCTGTTTGTATCAGCACCGCTATAGCCAAACCCGTACGCCCTCTTTGCTCTCTCGCTTAGGCCCTTGGTGTAGCACCTACAGCATAGTTTATCCTTGCCCCAAAATCTATTAATCCACACCGTAATAAGGCTGTAGAGGTGGGCAAGTTCCGGATTACTGGCAAGATGTATATACGTTGCAAGGACCTTACTAGTAACACTAGGGCTTATCGGATGCAAACATTGCACTGCTAGAAGTGGGGGAAGGACGTTTAACTTAAGGAGAGGATAATTAGAAGTGGTACTATCTACTACTGCTATCTTTATAAGCGTATAAACAGATATTAGGAGCTGCTAGTTATCTTAACAGGCAGGTCTACTGCTACAGATTACCTTATTAAGGTCTACTAGATAGATAAGCAGACGGGCCTGCTATATATGCGTCCACCTATAGCCTTAAATTAACCTAACCTCTACAACTATAGTAAGCTGCGGCGGCTTAGTATAAGGGTAATATTTAAGATGTTTAAGCGGCTGCTTATATAGTAGATTATTTACTATTATATTACATTTTTCTAGTTTAAAAATATCTACTTCTATAGGGTGTTAGAGTTCCTATATTTAGGTCTTAATAAGTACCTACTAAAGGCAGCTTTAACAGTTTAAAAGTAGGTAACTAATACCTAGTAAGAGTAGAAAGGATAAGCTAAAAGCAGAGCTAAGGTGCGCTTATAGCGCAATTTTGCTCTTTTTTAATTTTTAGATGTTGCTAAACAGTTATACTATACTTAAAGTATATAGCTACTTTATTAGCAAAACCGGCAGGTAATATATAGTAGTCTTGGCGCTTTATAAGGTTTTTAGTAACTATAGCAGCAAGAATATAGCCTAGAGATTACTAGCTATTATTTAAGACTATAGCTTCTAAGAACGCGTTAGTTATTTTATAGCAGATAACGCGGAGTTAAATAATATAGCAGTAGACCTTATTCTGCGGATTTTATACCTAAATATATTTATAAAGCATTATAAAGCTTATTACCTACGCTACTTTAGCTATATTATAAACCTTTGCGCGCAGGACTTTATTATTAGCTAGGACGCGGATAAGATCTATAGATAAATCTAGGTGGCGTACTAGAATTAAAACTATAGCAAAGTATAGTAGCTTTAGAAGCAGTAAGGGTTAATTAGCTTAATATAGAACCTTATATAGTATATATAATTAGGCAGTAGCTATAATATATAGTGGCGTTATAGCTGCTGCCTAATTATATATAATTGCAAATTTAGTAAATATTATAGTGCTGGAAAAATAGATAATCTAAAATCCGGGGTTTTACCGGGCCTTCTAAACCTTAACACTACAGCCCTAGGGCTAATTTAATACTTTAGCTTATCTAGAATAACTAAATGCAATAGAATTTACTATTTATAGCTATTAGCCGCTTCCTTAACTATAAAGAATATATCTAGAAGTTCTATAGAATATATAAACTAAATAATAATATAAAAAAACTTTAGAAGAATAATATACTAAAGCTAAAGTACTAGAAGTAGCTTAAGCACCTCTATAATAGCCTGGAGGCCTTTTATAAAGCTATTCTAATAGTTAAGGTATTATCACAGTCTCGGGCGGCAGGATTGCCCTAGCTAGCTCGGGCAGGTAGGTAGAAGTAATAACTGAATTCACTACGTGTTCTATAATGCACGGCAGGCAGGCGGGTTGAATAACAAGACGTAGCTCAAGGAGCTACAAGGAGGCAGGGCGGCGGTCGGCAGGTATACTCCTGCCAAGGCTCGCATAGGCCCTTGCAACAAGGCCTCTCGCCGGGTCCTAACATCACGTGTTACGCTGTGCAGCAAGCTTCACCGTTCAAGCCGTGACAGGTATAAGGGAAGAGTATACAGCAGGGGGCTTATAGATGGAATTAACGACTTCGTGTATTAAAAGACAAATTCTTAAGGAATTATAATGCGTGGCCTAGGGCTATATATACCCCGGCTTAAGCGAGCACGTAACTTATAGAGGCCTTGCAGGCTATACGCCTACGCAGGCAGGCTGTATAAATTGGAAAGGATATATTTATATTCTATCTTATAGCTATATACTATAGGTGCTCCGGTTACCTTATACTACCTCCCCCTTTAAAAAGGGTTTAACCCGAACCTATATAGCTTTATTAAATAAACCTTGCAATTCTATAGGGAAAAATAGAGGAACTAAGAGTACTATAGTAATAGAATAGTCGTATATTACTAGCTAAAGCCCTGTATAATAGCAGTGTATAGGTTTAAGATTTAGGCGCTAGTAGCTGGTGTAGGCGCCGTTATAGGTATAAAGCCTAATACTTAGGAGAAGCGTAGTGCCTATAAAACTTATATAATATTACTGTAATTTTATATTAGCAAGTAATAGGTTATAGTAGTTGGCCTTTTAATATGCAGTTTACGTTCTCCGTATATAGTAGTTACCTAATTTAGCATTGCTGTGCGGCCGAGATCGCATCGTGGCGTAGAACGGCAAGGCTGCGTGGCTAGATACGGTGTATAATACGTGCGTGGCACCTGTATATATATATAGGGTGTTTTAAACTAACCTCTAATTTTATAGTATAGAATGCGTCTAATAATTGCTTAATAGTATAATTACTATACTCTACTATAAGGTTAGGGCAATTAAAAGGGCTAAATCTAGGTCTATAACAATTGCTATTATAAAGTAGAGTTTTCTAGTATTAGTAATCCGGAGATATTATAGCTCCGGTTTTTAGTGCTATTACGTTGCTTTTACTGCTTAGGAGTTTAATTCCCAGCGCGCTTTTTTTTTTTGCTCTTCTTAACAGCTTTTTTATACTAGTTTCCTATACGCTAAATACGCGCGTGTATATAGGCCCCTGGAGAGTATTAGTAATATAAGCCTTTTTTATCCTAAAGGCGAATATAAGTTTAGCCCCGGTTATCGGCGCAGCTCTATGCTATATATTATGCATACACAGGGGGCGCGCCTAAAAGGAGAAATATATAATAGGGAGGTAGTACTAATATTATTATGCTTTATACGTGGAATTATCCTTAATAGACCCTTAGGCCTGCGGGACTTTAGTGCTGCTGTTTAGATGTCCTTGCGTATAATAAACTAAAAAGGTTTACTAGTGTCGCGTGCGTATATAATATATCGGCGCTATAATCTAGCAGTCTGCGCCCGTGTAATCTGGCGGACCCTAGGATAGATTTTAAGTATAAGAACTTTATCTAGGCGCTCTCTACTCCCTTTCCTCTATACTCTACTTTTTAGGAAGTCTTCTAAGCTTTTATATCTCTTCTCTACCTTTTTTAAGGCTCTCGGCTTCTATACTTTATTACTAATAAAATAGTGGACTTTAAAGATATTTCTAATATTCTTATTATAAAAGCTAATAAGGTGCCTAACCACCTTATTCCTTAGCCTTTTTACCTGCGCAACTTCTATATGCGCTATATCTAGAGCTTTATTAGAAAGATATATAAAAAGATCTTGGCTTTATATAAGTATAAGAGTCCGCATAGCAAATATAATAAGTGTAGCTCTGGTTATTATAACTGTATTTTAGTAAGTAGGCTATTACTAGGAAGATAGATAATAGCTAACTACTTTAGGTTCCTCTGGAGTTCTATTATGCTGCGCAGTACCTTATATATATACTAAAGTATATAAAACTGCTAAGGGGCATTCTAATAAAAAGACCTAAACTTACTATTTTAAGCAACTATATAACTATATAAAGAAGTTTAGTTCTTATATAAACGCCTTTAATAAAGCTAAGAGCACTAAAATTAAAGCAGCTGGCAGCGTGGAGTTATTTACCTATACTTGGCAGAAATTACTAGAAGCTTATATAGAAAGGATAAAGGTAAGTGCAATTCTGCTATAAAGCGCGTGTAAAGTATTTGCTAACCTTCTGCTAGCTAGAAATTAGCTATATAGGTT